CGGGTTAAGGACCTTGCACTCAAAGGGGTTGTGACCGTATGCGTTGCAATGATAACAATATTCCGGGTACATCTCATATAAAACCCTTTGAACATATTCCTTGCCCGAGGGAGGAATAATAGGAAAATTAAGGACCGGGGGCTTAGAGACATCCACCTCGATGAGAACACGTGCATACTTTGTAAAAGTCATTTCTTGGGTGACCTTATCAGTAGTGATAGGTACCCCAATTTGGGAAGCAATTTTTCCAATCTCCGTAGCTCACCAAAGCCTCAAGTGCAAATTTGGGAATTTCACCCAAATGGGCACCCTTAAAAACTCTTCACTTTCAAAGGAAAAATCCTCGGAAAGTGTTTTGAGAAACATGGTCTTCCCATAAAGAACATAAGGGCCCTCGGTAAGTACCTTAACCCGATCCTCATCACTTTTGAATTTGAACACAACCCATCCTTTGCTATGGGTTTTAACATCAACTTATACACCCCATTTATTTTTCATGGCAAATATAACTTTCAAGCCCGGGAACCTACCGGAGAAATGCCCAACCAAACAATAACCCCATATTTCAATAAGGGTAGGTACCTTAATACGAGAAAAGTCAAGTTTTTCCCCGGTAGGAGGGAAATATTCAAGCTTGAGCCCATTTGAAGGAGCTCGGTTATCACGAAATAGAGAAACATATTGCATAGACTCTTCTTCAAATACATTTCATTCTTCAAAGAATCCGTATCTTGTGATCAAAGGGATATAGACCCCTCGTGTTCCTCATTGCTATGTAAACTATTTTCATCCGAAGTTTCAATTATTGGGGCATCCTTATCCCCAGCAGGTATCAGTGCAAGTGAAAGTTCAGAAGAAACCGCGACATTAGCTGAGGTGGAATCCAGCCCCAGCAGTGCCTCAGCAAACGAGCCCTGTGTTGCCGCGGTAAAGGAAGATGTCGCGGCTTTAGCGCCTTGTCCCCCCCGTGTCAACGGATGGGAGTAATCAAGTCTGCATCCGCCATGAATAGCCTGAGAAGACTCGTGCTCAAGCTACAACAATGACCGTGAGTAAGAGGAGCTCTAATGAATATAAACTATAGCTTTCACAGGTCATAAATTTTGGCTTTGTTTTATCTTGTGCAACGGAAATCAATGTAGGCATAGAAGTATAGTGGTATATTTTGCAAGGAGAAATGTTATAGCACATTCATCTTTACAAATCCCAAATCACCACTCTCCGTCCAACTCCATTTGTTCTCATAAGAAATATGTCTTTTAAGTTATATCTACTAGGTGTTTGTTAAAATGCTTCAGTGAAAAATGATATCAATAGTTAGTACTTTAAATAAAAGAATGTTTGTTGAAATGCTATAATAAGTTAGCTATGACCTTAAGATGCGGAAATGTGCTGTTGATAGCGGAACACAACCGAGTAAATATATGCATTCCAAGTTTAGCATTTCTTCTTAATTTAAAACAATTACTATGTATCACTTTTCTGTCATAAGTTGCATTTTGGGCTTGATAGACTATAAGTCTAGAGAGAAGTGAGAGCTAGAGAGAGAAGTGCAGTAAATGTTTTGTATTAATGGTTTTGTGAACCCCTATAACTACTCCCAAGGGGAGTATTTATAGAGAAAATTAGGGCTTGACTCTCTAGCCTCGGGCTTGGGAGGCCCATTTACAATAGGGCCACTAATGGGTCAGATACAAAGTGTATGGAAATGATTAAGTATAAAATTCTATTCTGGAGGCTATCTATGGCCGATGAGGGCATGGCCGACGAGGGCATGGCCGACGAAGACCCGGTTGACTAGGTCACCCGGTTCTCCTGGCTTCTAGATCACATTCTGAGTAGACTTCTTTCTGGCCGATGGAGGTCATCTGGCCGACGAGGGTCCCACCAGGTGATCGTGGTACCTTCTATTCTGAGTATGTGGGCCCTGGGGTCCAGGCCTATATACTCCATCAGGAGTCCCCCACTCTCTGAGCTGAGATGTAGACGAAGTGAAGGAGAGTAGATTCCCTGACGTTGACGCTTTCTGGCCATTATGAGGCCACTGTGGAGTCTTGGCCGTTACGCGCGCCCTTTGCTTTGGTCCTTTATTTCTCGTTGTTACGGGCTCTCTACGTTCTGGCCGCTGTGTGGCCTTCACTGCGGACGAAGAGGGCCCTAGCCATGGATGATGCTGTTTTCGGTCATGAGTGGCCGATGAAGACGGCGCTTCCCTACTTCTGACCATTGATGGTCGAATTTCGTACTCTAGGCCGAGGAGGCCGTTGTGGTTATCTCCTGTTTGAGGACGATGGGTGGCCGGTGAGGGCGCTGTTTGCTTTCTTTGGCCGTCGTAGTTCTTATTCTGTGCTTTTGGCCGAGGAGTGGTGGTATTCGTAGCTTGGTGTCCATGTTTTGAGGACGATATCACCACTGATCGGGGAGGAGTATTACGTATCCTGGTTTCCTGGACGATGGTGATATGAGGACGTTGAGTTCCTGTCTTAATTCCTGGCCGAGACTGGAGTATGCGGTCTCAAAGCCGTTGAGCGCCCTGTGATCTTAGGTGCTGCATCTTTGGAGGGAATTCTTTGTTTGCTGACTTAGCTGCGGCCGATGGTGCACCACGAGGTCATGGACGCTGTGGTGCATATATGATCTGATGTTGTAGTTGTGGACTTAGTATATTTTTGGATTTCTTAGATTTTGTCCTCTTGACTTCCCAAAGGCCGGTGTAGTCCCCCAGTCCCCCACTGCTTCAGGCCAAAGAGTAAGCGAGGGGTGAAGGAGTAAAGGATTCCCCTAGGCCGAAGCGGGATTCTTGTATTCCCCTGAATCCAACTCCTTGGCGATTTCCTGACCAAGGTAACCCTGTGGGAGAATCCTTGGACGCAGGTCGCTTTCAAGAAATTATCATCAGGGTTTTATACAAGGCCGATGGCTGTGGGGTTGCTTTTTGCTTTGCTGTTGTGGCCATTGAAAGAGCCATGCTATTAGGTATTCTTGTTTGGGCCGATATGGGCACACCTTGTGGTGTGACCTACCCTTTTGAGGTTATCTTTGTGTTGAGGCCGATGTAGGCGAGCTTCCCTAGTGTGGCCGTTGTGGACGTGGATTACTGTCACGTTGGTGATGGGCTGGTACTGATGGAAGTGGGCCTGACCCGTCCTTTGAACCGGTGCCAGCCCAATGGGCCTGTGGGGTGGTGGCCGTTCACGTGGCCAATGGATGGATGCCACGTGTAGTGACCGTTGGGGGGGAGGTCTATAAATACCCCCCTCTCTCCAAAGAGGCTCCCCATTGCATTCTCGAGATAATGAAGTGCTGCCAAATTTTCTAGAGAGATAAAGGTTGTTCGAGTGTTCCTCAAAACTTCATATCTTCAAAGGTCAGTTCATCACATTTTCTCCCGATTTATTGCATACTTTGCTTTCCTAGGGCCTTGATCTAGTGTTAGTGGAGAATCACCCTTAGATCCAAGGTAGTCCCCTTAAGGCCTTAGCTAGTTGTTATGATGAAACCTTTGGACGACGAATACTACCCTTATGACGATGAGCCCTCCGTTAAATCCCTTGATTACCGGGTAGTAGAGGAGGATTGTTGCGAGGAGATAGAGGACCTGAGCTACTTCAAGTCAGGGGAGCAGGAGGGTAGCGAAGGTGAAGACGAAGAGGCCGCCTCGTCGTCTGATGGTGAGGACGTAGTGGTCTCCCGCGCCGTGGACGGAGCATCTACCTCAGCTGCAATTCCCTGCCCGAAGCCAGTTTCTGCTGTGAAGGGGACTGCCCCGACGAGAAGGCGTCGGCCGAAGAAGGGTCCAGGTTACTCCTACCTGGACCTCACGAACATTTATTTGATCAAGCCGGAGAGCAGCGCGGCTGATTACCAGGTGGCCCAGATGTATGTGGGGCCGTATGGAAGGGTTAGGGCCCCCAAGCCGATGGACCACGTGCTGAATCCACCACCGGGGTACTTTGGAGTATACCCCATGAGCTTTGCCAATGGGCTTAGATTTCCCCTTCATCCGTTCATCACGGAGTACTTAGACATGGTGGGTATCCCTCCAGCCTTGCTGACCCTGAACAGCTATTCACTCATCGTCTTCTTCCTCCTTCGCTGTGATGAATTGGTCTTTAGGCCGACGACGACCCTCTTTATGAATTTATACTAGATCGGCCGAGGGAGCCACAAGAATTGTGCCGGCTACGCCAACCTTCAACAGCTGCCGAAGAAGAGGAGCTTTACTGACCTTCCTTCGTCCATCCATGGTTGGAAAAGCAAGTTCGTCTTTGTGTCGTTGGGCGAGGGTGGCACCGAATTTCCCTCCGTCGGCCATGATGGGAGATTCAACCTCCATGATGTGCCGAAGAGTGGCATTTTGGATGCCCAGGTGGCGGCATTCTTGAAAGGAGGACCGAGGAGTGTGAAAGAGTATATAACAGAGTATAAGATGACCGCCCTCGGCTTCTTCAGGTACTTCATCTATGGTGACAAGGAGAGTGACACCGAAATATGGCCGAGGATGGCCACCACTTTTGAGGAGGCTGATGGCCCGGATTTAGGCGTGCCCGCCGGAGCTGATGGTAATACCCTCTTTGGCATCTTCGTCTGCCCTTGTTATTCTTTTTGCTAACTGTCCTCTTTTGTTATGCAGATTTTGTGATGGACCGCAGATCCGTCATGGCCTTTGCCAAGGCAAAGGCGAAGGAGGAGATGGCCGCCAAGGAGGCCGCGAAGCTGGCCGCTGCGAGTGCCGCGCAACCGAGTTCGGATGCGGCAAAGAGACCGCCCACCCAGCCGAAGAAAAAGCGGCCTGTGGATGTCGGTCAGAAGAAATTGACCGAGGCTGGCATGCAACCCTCAAAGAAGTCGAATAGGGGTTCTCCTTCGGCTGAGGCTGATGCCAGGGCTGCAACTGCACCCACCGATGATGCTGGGGGCTCTAACGCCGTTGCTGTTGTCGACATGGTTTCTGCCCCCTCGTCGACTGCTATGTCTCAGCCGCCCCCTATCGGCCAGGACTCCCGAAAGAAGAGGGCCAGAAAGGAGTTGGCCGTCGGGACCTACAAGATTGAGGTCGAGTACCCTGTAAAGGGTGGTGTTTTCAATGACGCCGTCGATGGCCATGACGTGCTTGCCCAAGCTGTCCCGGTCGAGGACTGGGCTTATTTGAAGAAGCTTGGCCCCGTCAGGATTTATGACGGCGGGATGGACCTTGTCGTCCAAGTAAGTTCCTTGCACTTTACCTTTTTACATTTCTTGATGTCACAAGTGTCTGCCTCGTCCTAATCTTTTCATTCATTGCAGGGGGCCCTTATGCTGATGGAGAGCCATAAAAGGGAGGAACAAGAGATTGCTCGACTGAAAGAGGCTGAGAAAAAAGCTGCTTCGGCCGAGGAGGCCATGGCCTGCCTGGACCGGCTCCGGGACGAAGTGGGGGCCCTGAAGAAGAGGGTCGATGAGGCCAATGAGGCCTATCTTCAGGTGGCAGCCGATAGAGATGACGCCCTGAGAGTTAAGGATGAGGCACTAAAGGGTCGCGATGAGGCCCTGCTCCGAGCCGAGGACGCCACGAAGGCTCAAGCTGAAGCCGAGAAGGCTGCTGATGTCGCAGTCGAGAAATTTCTGGCCGAAGGGTGAAAGGAAGAAGACCGTCGGCCCTGATGCTAAGAGGTTGTGGCGGACCGGCAAGAAGATTGGGGCCAGAACTGCCCTGCCGGCCAAGACTACTTCCAAAGGGAGATGTCTGTCTATTACGACATGGGCCAGCAGCGAATGCAGCGGCTGATCTACCAGAGGCTGCATCGTGCTTTTAAAAAGCTAAAGCTTACCCAGAAATGGGCCAAGAAGAATTTGAAGCTTCCCAGGGTGATGAAGAACCCGAAGGCTGAAGCGAAGCTCCCCCCTTCTGAGAGGCAGGACCCGATACTCAGCTCCTCCATCGGTGAGCCGGATTGGTCCGATGACGATGCCTTGGCCGATACCGCTGTCTCCGCAGTAGCCGAGGCCAGTGCAGATGTGGGGACGGAGGAGGCACCGAGGCTGCTGTTGAGCAAGCCGATGGGGGGCTGGTTGCTGATGAAGTCGCCCCAGAGAACTGATCGACTGACTTTTCCTTTTGTGTAGTTCAGTAGTTTGGGCAGGTGCTATAGTGCCTTTATTTTGTAATGGCCGTTGTGCCCCCTTTGTACTTCTCCTTTGATGAATGAAAATATATTTCTCTTTCGGCTTTAATGTTTATAATGTCCTCCTCGTCTTGCCTTTCCTTTTGCTTTTTTTATTCTTCGAAATTTTTCCAAGTGTTTAAGTTGGGACTTGGACAATTGTTCTCTTTGGTTGTTTCCTCTGGCTGCGGCCGAAGCAGGCAACTTAGGTGAGCATGCTTCGTCCATAGGGAATACCCCTTGCTTTTAACAACACTTTAGAATTTCTTCTAAGTGTCAGACTTTAAGTGATTGAGTGTCCTCTTCGTTTCAGCGTTACCCCTTTCCTTTTATTGTTCACACTTTGGAAATTTTTCAAAGTGTCAAACTAAGTAGTTCCTTTTGTTCGGGGGCCTTCGTCGGCCAATACGGCCAGTATGGGTAGCTTCATATGTCTAGGCGTTTTCATCGGCATGTGTACCTTTTCCGGCCATCGTGTATTCTTCGTCTTGTGTCATTCCTCACCCCTTTTTATTTTCACTTGCAATTTTCTAAGTGCCAAACAAGAACTCTTGATCTTGTTCTCCGTAGTTGTGGCCGATGAAGGGTCCTGCCCTTTGCTCGACTGAGGGGGAAATGTCTTCTTCGTCTCTGTAATATTTGGTGTCCCACTTTTTGTGGAAATTTCTAAGTGTTTAGCTTAGAGTATGGTTGATTTGTTCGGCCACCGGACCCTTGTCGGCCGTTCTGGATGCTCCTTAGGGATTTTTCCAAATACTTGGAAAATTTTCTAAGTGTCAAACACACTTGGGGGTTGCTTCCTTAGGAGTGACCGATGACAGGCTCTGCCCTTGGGTCGGCTGAGTGAGTTTTCTTGGATCATTTCGGTTACCTGCCGGCTATCTCGTGCCCTTGTCGGCCATGGGAGATTGTCCTGCGAACTTTGTCCAAGTTTTTTTTGAACGCTTTCGTCCGCAATGCGTAATATTTGCCTTATATGTACTTAGACAATTTTGGGGATTTTATTTTTATTGCTCGAGGTCGGTAAGTGCACGACTCATCGGCTTCCCTCTTTTATGTTTTTGGGGATATCGCTTAAGGCCGGCAAGTGCACGGTCCTTCGACTGTCTCTCTTTTATGTTTTAGGGATATCGCTCTAGGCCAGCAAGTGCGCGATCCTTCGACTATCCCTCTTTTATGTTTGGGGATATCGCTTCAGGCCGGCAAGTGCACGGTCCTTCGGCTGTCCCTCTTTTATATTCTTCCTCTTTACTCTTTTGAGGAATTAATTCCACTTTAGGTCCTCCGAGTTTTGTGTCATTTCCATATTTAGTCCTCATCTTTCACTTTATCCATTTTTGGTACCTGACTATTGTTTTCTTGACCATTTGTGGTCCATTTCTGAGCATTTTTACTATCGGAAAAGGACTATAAATGGTCAAGAAAACAATAGTCAGGTACCAAAAATGGATAAAATGAAAGACGAGGACTAATTGTGGAATTGATGCAAAACTCGAAGGACCATAAGTGGAATTTCTTCCTCTTTTGAGCGAGGAGTGGGTATCCTTCTTTCAGGCTTCGGCCAAGGGGGTCGATAGTCCCTCGGCCGGTAAGGAGTCCTACTGGATCGTCCTGTGATCTCAGGGAGGTCCCGTCGTCTATTTATGATGTGGGCTAAGGCATTTGGTCGGTTACCGACGGCTGCCATTTCTCATCCCTGAGTTTGGGGATTTTTGTCACCTCGACCATGATTTCAGACCTGTCGTCCTGCTGATTTTGCGGATAGATGACGCGGTGAGCTTCCCATTTCAAGACGTGGGCTCTTTGCGGGTCCTTCGTCCTGGGGACACCGTCGGCCTTTCCTGAGCATTTTCGCTATGAGGGGCCGAGACGGTGTGCTCTGTCGACCTTTCCTGAGCATTTTCGCTCTGAGGGGTCGGTGTAGTGTAGTATCATTTCCGTGAACCTTTTTAGAAAAGTAAGAAAACAACTTTTATTGATAAGTGGCTCGAGGCCGAGGGTGGCGTCCGACCAACAATCCATGGGAAGGTGAGGGCTTTGCCGGCTGCGCCGGCCCCAGATTATTGATAGAATTTCACCAAGTGATGTACATTCCACGTTCGTGGTACATTAGACCCATTCGGGTGTTTTAGTTTGTAGGTGCCGGGCTTTACTACGGCACTGACGATGTAGGGGCCTTCATATTTGAGTGCCAGCTTGCCACCTTCCGTCGGCTTACTCGCCTCTCTTCGGCGAAGGACATAGTCCCCCACCTGGAATTCCCGGGAACGTACCTTGGCGTCGTAGTATGATTTTACTTGACGCCGGCAGTTCTCTGCCCGAATGAAAGCCTTCTCTCGTCTTTCTTCGATCAGGTGAACATCAACCTTCATGCTTTCTTCGTTGGCCTCAGGCTCATAACGCTCCACCCGTCGGTTGGGTATGGTGATCTCTGTGGGCACCTTTGCTTCAAAGCCATAGCAAAGGGAAAAGGGTGTTTTGCCCGTTGCCCTCCTCGGCGTAGTACGGTAGCACCACAGGATATTGGGGAGTTCATCGGCCCAACTGCCCCTTGCGTCCTGGAGCTTCTTCTTTAGGCCTTCCAAAATGGTTCTGTTGGCGTTCTCGACTTGCCCGTTACCTTGAGGATAGGCAACGAAGGAGAAACGATGTTTGATTCCCCATTCTTGGAGGAGCTCTTGGAAAGACGCGACCTCGAACTGGGTGCCGTTATCGGATATGATTTCATGAGTAATGCCGAAGCGGGTAAGGATGTTTTTGTGGACGAATTTCTGACACCTGGCACTTGTGATGCTGGCCAAAAGTTCTGCTTCGACCCACTTCGTGAAGTAGTCCACAACGACAATGATGTAGTGGTTGTTGCCCGCGGCTCAGGGCAGGGGCCGACCAGGTCAATACCCCATCTTGAGAATGGGATCGCGGTGCTGACCGGGGCGTAGTTGACGGCTGGCCGACCAGGGGCTTTCTGAAGGACCTGGCATGCAGAACACTTCCTTGCAAGACCGGCACAGTCCCGCACCATTGTCGGCCAGAAATAGCCCTGGACGACGAGACGCGGGGACATGCTGAAAGGGCCCTGATGAGAGGAGCAGACGCCGCAGTGGACTTCCTCCATGGCCACCTCGGCCTCATCCGGGTGCAGGCATCGGAGAAGAGTGCCGTTGTAAGATCTTTTATAAAGTTTCCCATCCTCGATGGTGTAGCTTGGGGCCCTTAGTTTGGCTAGCTTGGCTCTCTCCTCGTCCTGGGGCAGTTCTCCCGAGGTGATGAAGGTCATGATGTCGGTGATCCAGTCTTCCGGCCGCTGTTGGATGCACATGACCGGGCTGGCGTGGATGCTGGACATGCTCAGCTTCTCGACCTTGGCTATCTTGGAGATGTGCTCTGGAGTGTCTGTGCTGAGCTTGGAGAGGATGTCGGCCTCAACATTCTCCGCCCTTAGGATCTGGGTGATCTCGTGGGTTTCAAATGCCTTGAGCAACTCCTCGGCCACCTGTTTGTATTGCCTCATCCTCCCTTCTTTAGCCTCGTATGAGCCCTCGATCTGGCCCACCACTAGCTTGGAGTCGCACCTGATTCTGATGTGCCGTGCTTTGAGGCCGGCGGCGAGTCTGAGGCCGCTGAGGAGGGCCTCATACTCGGCTTCGTTGTTGGATACCCTGAAGTTGAAGCGGATGGCATAATAGGCTCTGAATCCTTCAGGGGAAATGAGGACGCTGCCGCCACTACAAGCTTTGGTAGCCGATGAACCGTCGGTGAAGAGAGTCCATGCTTCGTCTGGCTCTGGCCCGGGCGTGGTAGCGGCCGTTTCCCTGGCTATACACTCGGTGACGAAATCGGCCAAGGCCTGCCCCTTGATGGATGGCCTTGGCTTAATCTCGATTTGGAACTGGCCGAGGAAGATCGCCCATTTCACCATTCATGAGGAACTGGTGGGGCTCCGCATGAGCGCACCGAGGGGCTGCTGAGTTAAGACGTGGACGGCATGGGCCTGGAAGTAGTGCCTAGCTTTTTCACCGTATGGACGATGACCAGTACCGTCTTCTCAATGAGGGAGTACCTGAGCTTGTCCTCTCGTAACGTCTTGCTTACGTAGAAAATTGGTTTCTGTACCCCCTCATCCTCGCGGATGAGCACGGAGCTGATGGCCGACGTGCTCACCCCCAAGTACAAAAAGAGGGTTTCACCGGATTTAGACTTGGAAAGCACGGGAGGGGACGATAAGTACCGCATAAGTTCCTCAAATGCTTGCTGGCAATCCGTCGTCCATCTGAAGCTGGTTGCCTTGCGCATGATTTGAAAGAAAGGGAGAGACCTTTCAGCCGACTTTGAGAGGAAACGGTTTAGGGCCGTAAGGCATCCCGTCAGCCGTTGTACCTCCTTCACATTTCATGGCGGCTCCATGTTGACAATGGTCTGTATCTTCTCCGGATTGATCTCAATGCCCCTTCGGCTAACCATGTAGCCGAGGAACTTGGCCCCTTGGACGCCGAAGGTACACTTCTTTGGGTTCAGGCGGAGCTGGAATTTCTTCATGATTTCGAAAATCTCCCGGAGGTCGTCAGCATGAGTAGTAGATTGCTTGCTCTTGACGATCATGTCGTCGACATACGCCTCCATCGTCCGGCCGAGGACTGCTCTGAAGACCTTGGCTACCATCCTGTGTATGTGGCGCCTGAGTTTTTGAGCCCAAATGCCATAACGAGGTAGCAACAAATTCCCTCCGGGGTCATGAAGGCCGTCTTCTCGGCATCATCTTCGTGCATGAATATCTGGTGGTACCCCCTGAAGGTGTCAAGGAACGACATCAACTCACACCCCGCCGTCTCATCCACCGATTGATCAATGTTGGGGAGAGGGAACGGGTCCATGGGGCACGCCTTGTTCACGTCAGTGTAATCAACACACATTCTGAACGTCGGCGGCTTCTGGGTGAGGACGACGTTGGCCAACCAGGTGGGGTATTTCACCTCTTTAATGTGGTTGATTGAGAGGAGCATGGTAACCTCCCCCTTGACAAAGTCCCGTCTGTCGGCCGAGAGGTAGCGCCGCTTCTGTTTGATCGGCGTGGAGGCGG